AGAGAGAGAGAGAGAGAGAGAGAGAGAGAGGGCGGGTGGGGAGGGGGTAAGAGGAGGGCCGGAGCGAAGGTGATAAAAGGAAAGAGGAAATGAGACAGAGAGCGAGAGAGGATGATAAGCGAAGAAGCGACTGATGTATCTTCGAGATCATCGAAATTGACACTCACGCGTTTCTCTCTCTCTCTCTCGTGCACGCTACCTCGGAGAAATTTCACTCTCATCGTATTTCTCGTCTACGCTCGGGCGGTTTCACAACTGATATTTGCGATTCTTAGGAGAAATACGATATGAATAATTAAGGGTCAATTAACCTCGCGCGAGCAGCGAGTTCAAAGAGTATTCGGAGTACGGACGTCCTTAAGAGCGACGTTAGATAAGAGTAGAAATTACATCACGCGATAAAAGTCTGCAGTACGTATGCCTTTAACTCTTCCTTGAATATATATTTCTCTGTGTGTGTGTGTGCGTGCCCGGCGAGGAAAATTTCAAATTCAAGATTACTCTGGAGTTTCTCAAGTAGTGGTAGCGCGATTTACAAGGCGAAAGTAATTAAAAAGTAAAATATTTGAGGAAGCTTCCTTGTGCGGGGGGCGAAGGAGAGGAGGTGGGGCAGACTGGCGCGTCCGTGGCGCGATATATCGGCGCTGTGGTGCGTGTATGTGTGTGTGGTGATGATGATGATGATGATGATGATGAATTAGTGGCCGGTCCACTTTCGCGAGAGGACTCGCGCGCGACCCGAAAACGTGATCGAGATCGTATATCCTCTTAGCCCCCGGAATCCGCGAATCCCGTAGATCCCGCGAGCGCTCTCGTCGTTGTCGTGCTGACCGGCTGAAGAAAGTGAAACGTCAAGGCACGCTGTTTACGATGCCGCCGCGGTACGCGCGTGACGATTCCGCTTGTGTCATTGTGTCCGTCGCGCGATAATTCGGACGATAGTGAATGGAGAGGCGCCCGAACGCATGAGACGACGTCGGCGATCAAAACGTGCCGCGCGTCAGCGTGGTATCTTTTCCTCCACGACAGCTCGCACGAATTCGACGCAAGAATTCCCATTTTCCGCGGCGATATTGCCGGCCGAGATATCGCGGTTAACCCGGGAATAGTCACCTGGGGTCATTTCATACCCCAGCGGTCAGAAAATGAAGCTCACGTAGCGGTGGATTTTTTTTTTACTAATCGCGAACCAACATGTATCTTTCATTCGGACATTTAGAGACCTAACCTATGCAACAGAAATAGACTGTGACTCGTCTTATTCATAATATGAGTCTGTGAAAACACATTGGGGTAAAAAACGACCCCAGATGACCGTTAAGTGTAATAAGAGTTCGTATTGTGAAGACAAAATAATGATAAGATTGAATAACGTTACGTGTAGCCATATATTCAGTAGTAAGATTGAATATTCAGTAAACATTAAGCAATATTTATATTATATCTGATACTGACCGATAAGAATGTCTAGAAAAATAGACAAAGGCGCAATTATTAAATATCTAATATTTATATTTATTGCTTGTAATTAACATATATTTTTTTATATTTATTGCTTATAATTAACATATATAGTAATGGATGTTACGTAATATATTTTCAATTTTTTTAAATAATCATTCTTTACGAACCTTTATCTTATTCCATCGAAAAAAAAAAGTAATAAAGCAGCGTGTTTTAAATGGATATCTTCATTTATTATAAATATTGCCATAACAAGACACTCGATGTGCTGATTCTGATTCTTAAATATTTTTCTGGTTTTCTCTCATTTTTTTTTCAAAAAATATCGAATAAATCTGCATTTATAATGTCCCTAAATAATAATAAATTGTAGAGCAATCGATAATATGCTATATTTTATTAATAATAAAGCGGTTTTTAACTGAGGTCTGAATAATCCCAGGTGATCGTTTACGTAAAAAACAATAAGGTGACTATTCCCGGCTTAATGGAGCAAAATCAGGCGCTCTGTGTATTTTCTAATATCCAGTCCTCGCCGCGACGACGCTGTGTCGACGTTGTGGAAGAAACACTCATGCGCGCACACACATACATGCAGTATGTTAATATCGAAATTTATTATTGTTATTATTACTATTACTATTGTTATTATTATTACGAAATTATTCATAATTTAATCACGTTGCATATTGGATTATAATTAGATTTACATAATGTCAACAATTATATTACGATACACGCTCACAATCTTGTTACATTGTTAACAGATTCCTCATTTGACATGTAGGCTAATAACGTTACACGTTTCACGCACGTTACACATCTCCGCTTCGATGTATAGCTGAAAACAAAGCGAAAATAGGGAGTAACGCTGACATATAAATCAAGATTTGCAAATTTCTCCAACGCCTCCCAATTTACTATGTGTTACATGACGGCAGATGGGAGGCTATGTGTACATATGATCGGCTACGAATATATATATTGTTTGTTAAGTATTAATATAATCAAGTACGTACCTTTTAGTCCTAATCTTCAGTAAGTGTAATTGAAAGGAGTAATCTTACGGCCTTCAAGCGCTAAATTGTAGTCTAATTTCTAGCGAGAAATATTTTCAGTGCTTCCAAACGTCGTGATTCCTTAAATTTAAGCGTTATCACGACTTTGCAGAAATTACATTACATTTTATTGCGTAAGGCCAAAGGCTTATTATATATTATATATATTATAAATCAGGGCTGAGGGCCTTAGCAGAATGATTGATTTATCGGTTCAAGATAGTTTTTCGTGCCTTGAGTTTCTATTTCTTAAATATCGCACAACGATTGTGTGGAGTTTTAAATTGAATTGAACATCCCTTCTTTGTGATGACAAACCGCTGTAAACCAAGAAAAAATAAAGAGGAAAATTTAGACAAGGATTTAGGGCGCAAAATATCGTCTTAAAATTACAAGTCAGCCATTCTGCTGAAGCTCTCGTTCTCGGTTCATTGTCCGATCCTTTTTTCATCTTTTCTTTATATCCCATCAACATCTTTCGGGACAATACTAAGAGAGCGAACAGTCTCGCCTACCTTTCCCTTTTGATTTTCTAACGGGCATTATTGTGTTTCTTACCAGCCGAACCATGCGACCTGCCGTGTCCGTCGCCAAACCCACAGATGCTACCTGGGGGCGGAGTTGGCAGCGGCGGGGGTGCAGGAGGCGGAGGAAATGGCGGAAGAGGTTCTTCTCCTAGTGTATCCGGTGTGGCTGCACCTTCACCCTCGCCGTCTCATTCGCACTCGTCGCCTTACGACTTGAGACGCAAGAGCCCACCTCATCCGGACCCAGCGCCGGGCACCAGTTCTGCCCTACCACCGACGGGTGGTAGCAGTATCGTCGCAACCCTCGGTTGTTCGTCCTTACCTGCGAGAAAACGGCCGAGACGGACGTGCTCGCTATCTACGGAAGGTACGTGTCCCCCCCCCCCCCCCCCNATCCAACCGAGAAAACCGACAAGTGTCGACCTGGAGGATGAAAGATTAATGCAACGGCGTGCATGGTCGACACCGATGTCGTCATTGTAAATTCACTCGATTGGCACTTTTATTGAGCAATCACGCAGGATGACTTTCACCAAACTCCGATGAAACTAATCGATGATCAGGATTGGCGGAATTATCAACTACGACTTTGTCCGCCGCGTAATTTGTCATTCGACAACAACTGAAGAATTAGTAATTTTATTGTACGTGTATCAATGATGGGCGATCTTTAAAAAAAATATATATATAGATTTTCGAGTCGATCTTGAATCGGAATAACTAGAATCGACTTACTAAGAAACTGGAAGAATTGATTTTCTAGAAATCTATCCGAAAAATCGCATGCATCAGATGTTGACCCCGGTGTGAATTCTTCATTAAATGAAACAACAATGTTATATAATAATGTTAATAATGAATAAGTATATTAGCGGATCGGAAATCGATTCTCCATTGAAAGAATTGATTCGCATAAAAATCGAATAAAAAAGAATCATTAAAAAAAAAAGGACAATTTTTGAAGAAACAAGAGCGATTTCTGAAAATCGAATCGAGATCGTCTAATTAGAAATTTGTTTGCGTTACTATACGCATAGAGAATGGGACAGCATTAATGAAGTTTGTACAGAAACTTTGCTGTACAATCTATCTGATTTCGATTTGTTTTCCATTTAATTAATATTTGATCGCGCGATACGAATCGTCAATATAAGTTGTAGGGAGAATGTCCTTATTCGTTTTAACGGAACAAATTGTGTTCTATTGTCCATGTTAGCAACTGTGCCGGGTAATTCAGTTCGATCGTCGATTAATTTAATCAAATTTAGTGCAAGTCACATCCTAAGTACTAGAACGCATCATGAAATACACTCACAAAAACATCTTCGGACGATAGAATCAAATATGTATAGAGAAAAAGGTTTCCCTTAGATTTAGTATTTTTATTTATTTCATGAAAATCTGTTTCATAGAAGCAACATATACGAAATATTATTTGTTTGAGTAAAGATTTTATTGTCTCATTCAAGAAAACTCGATTATTTAACAGAGAGAACGCTATTATTTGAAATAATATCTCTTAACCAAATAAAATATTATTTAGTCATAATAAATATGTAAAATGAAGGAAATAATTTCTTTAATTTCTTTAGAAAATGTTCTTTCGTTTCAAACAAATGTTTTATTTAAGATAAAGACACATATTCGTTGAAGAGTCTGACAATCGTATTTGTTACAATCGTAACATTAGTTTCACCGGAGCATGCCAATGATGATGAAATTTGGATGTAATAAAATTGATGAAATTTGAAGAAATCTCTTTCTCAATGTATAAATCCCTCATGTCTCGGATGATGTATGTTTGACTCCGTTTGCGCTCTAACCACAATTCTTCTTCTTCCCCGGGACAGGTATAAATACGAACACAGCGGCGCACTATCTTCAGTACGAGCTGCCGGACGAGGTGTTGCTCACGATATTCAATTATCTCATGGAGCAGGACCTGTGCCGGGTGTCGCAGGTCTGCAAGCGTTTCCAAACGATCGCGAACGACACGGAGCTGTGGAAGTCGCTCTACCAGCAAGTGTACGAGTACGACCTGCCGCTGTTCAATCCGGCGCCGTGTAAATTCGAGTTCGTCTCGCCGGACGAGTCCGACTATCCGAATCCGTGGAAGGAGAGCTTCAGGCAGCTGTACAGGGGCGTTCACGTCAGGCCCGGCTTCCAGGATTTGAAGTTCAAGGGACGCAATCTCCCGCACTTCAACACGATTCAGGGCGCGTTGGACTACGTCGACGAGTACAGGAACAACAGCGGTGGCTCGGCGAACGGCGCCAGCACGGCCGCTGGCGGCCAGGGTTGTTGCAGTAGCGGCGGCAGTGCCGGCGGCAGCAACAACAGTTCGCAGACACTCGAAGAAGGGCCTCAGCACTTGGTGTTTCTACACGCCGGCACGTACCGAGGCGAGTTCCTCGTTATAGACAATGACGTGGCGCTGATAGGCGCCGCGCCCGGTAACGTCGCGGAGTCGGTCATATTGGAGCGCGAGAGCGAGTCGACGGTCATGTTCGTGGAGGGCGCGAAGCGCGCCTACGCCGGCCACCTCACGCTGAAGTTCACCCCCGACGTCACCAGTACCGTGCCGCATCACAAGCACTATTGCTTAGAGGTCGGCGAGAACTGCAGCCCCACCGTCGATCACTGCATCATCAGAAGCTCCAGCGTCGGTGAGTGGGGTGCGAACGTGTTGCTTCGCTGATAACTGATAGAACTAGCGGATAACGGTAGGACGAAAGAACCTTGCCCATTCTTGCGCGGGGTTTGGGTCTCTAGTAAAGGGACTTGGCTAAAATGAGAAGTTGTTGTTAAAAGGGTCGTGATGTTCCACAGTCAGAATCATCTAAAGGGCCATCGTACAATAGCTGTAAAGTGTGGAGTAAGGCATGAGCGGTTAGCTAACCACGGCCGATTATTCTTGGACTGTAAGAATCCAATTGGTCAATTAGCTCACTGCTTATTACGTCGTACTTCACGGCTATTGCAGATGATCCTTAAGGCTACATTCCATTTGACTTGAGCGGCCACATTCTACCTTTGTTTCTGATTGAATGTTAAATAGAAACAGAATGGCTGCGTTCGGAAAGCACAAGCGATCGATGATTATTGGTCTTTACTATTAGATCCCTGGATTTAGACCAATTATGTCAACGAATTGTACAACCGTTGTTTTCCGAACGCAGCCAATGATGTTCACGTCGCGACACGATCGTCGAAATGTAGCCTGAGTCGACGATGCTATTCAGAGATACGCTAGGGGAAACACTGGAAAAATGTGTCAACCGGCATTTTTTTTTCTATTCGATTTCTCGGCATTTTCTCGTAGTGGTGGACGATGGTGACGTAAGCTACGTGGAAATACTAACTTGAAGTACCTATCATTTATGACACCGTTCATTCATGTGAGAAATCTCGACTGAGAGATTAGTGTAACTACAGAAAAGGCAGATAACATTTTCGTTTCATTTGAATCTTCAGATGGGAAAACTTCTCAGATGATTTGCCAATTCCGGCGGCCTTTTCAGCAATGGAGATCAGATTTTCAATAGTCTAGCGTTTCTCTATTGATCAATATTAGAGATTATTGTCAAAGGAAGGATGAAAATGTCTCATAAACACAATCCTTTGAATTAATTCTGTTCAAGGATACACTCTTGGAAACGTTAAAATGTCCAAAATGCACTAAACGACAATTTTTATATAATTTCTTCACACTCATGGCACTCTCTCGTGGTGACTGTAATAACGGGTAATTCAAACTACTTTGAAATATCAGCTTGAAGTACTTATCATTCACGATATCGTGGATAAGCGAGAAATCTCGACTGAGATATTAAAGGTAAATAACATTTCCGTTTCATTAAAATCGTCGGTCGAAGAAACGTAACTTCTTAGACGACCTATCGATTCCGGTGACTTTATCAACAACGGATATCAGATTTTCAATAGTCTATCGTTCGGTATGTGGGGGGAATCGTTGTGCGCTAAAGACTCAAAATGGACAAGGTTTTTTCATGACGTGACCGTCGCTTGAAATTGCACCATTAAAAAAAAAACATGGTCTGAAATCTGCGCTACACTGGGGCAGTTTTCATTCGTCGAACACTGTACTAAACTCGAGCCGGAGCAGAGGTCACAATCCGAATATGTGGCAGCGAAAAAATTCGCACTACTGCGAGCGACGTCGGATTCGCTACGAGAAATTAACCAATCACAGTCGATTATTCCCCTTACACTCGAACGTGATTGGTCAATTTCTCATTTTTACTTCCTACGAACATACCCCTACCGTCCATTGCAGACTACGTTAAAGACACGATCAGAGAGACGTCGCGTCACTCGAATTGAGCGATCTGCGAGCGTCACACATTAAGACCGAGTTTTGAACTTTCAGTCGGCGCGGCGGTGTGCGTCTCGGGCGTCGGTGCTAACCCGGTGGTGAAGAACTGCGACATCTCGGACTGCGAGAACGTGGGTCTGTACGTGACCGACTACGCCCAGGGCACGTACGAGGACAACGAGATCTCGCGGAACGCGTTGGCCGGCATCTGGGTGAAGAATTACGCGAACCCGATAATGCGACGGAATCACATCCACCACGGCCGCGACGTCGGCATATTCACATTCGACAACGGCCTCGGTTACTTCGAGGCGAACGACATACACAACAACCGGATAGCGGGGTTCGAGGTGAAGGCAGGCGCCAATCCCACCGTCGTCCATTGCGAGATACATCACGGCCAGACCGGCGGAATTTACGTACACGAGAACGGCCTGGGCCAGTTCATCGACAACAAGATCCACTCGAACAACTTCGCCGGCGTGTGGATCACCTCGAACTCGAATCCGACCATACGGCGGAACGAGATCTACAACGGGCATCAGGGCGGAGTGTACATATTCGGCGAGGGTAGGGGCCTGATCGAGCACAACAACATCTACGGTAACGCTTTGGCCGGCATACAGATCAGGACGAACTCGGACCCGATCGTCAGACACAACAAGATACACCACGGGCAGCACGGCGGCATCTACGTTCACGAGAAGGGCCAGGGCCTGATCGAGGAGAACGAGGTCTACGCGAACACCCTGGCCGGCGTTTGGATCACTACGGGCTCGACGCCGGTGCTCAGGAGAAATCGCATCCACAGTGGCAAGCAGGTCGGCGTATATTTTTACGACAACGGCCACGGGAAGCTCGAGGACAATGATATTTTCAATCATTTATATTCTGGAGTACAAATAAGGTAATTAAAGATCGTCGTCGTTAATCGAAAGAGAGTGGCGTGAGTGTGCGCATGTCTGTCCGAATAGTAAGGGAACCGCTGAACCACACACGCGGGTTTTTTCTTGTTGATCTAGGACTGGCAGTAACCCGGTAATACGCGGAAACAAGATATGGGGCGGACAGAACGGCGGTGTTCTTGTGTATAATAGTGGCTTAGGATTACTTGAACAAAATGAGATTTTTGATAACGCGATGGCTGGCGTCTGGATCAAGACCGACAGCAATCCCACTCTCAAGAGGAACAAGATATTCGACGGCCGAGACGGCGGGATTTGTATATTTAACGGTGGCAAAGGTACGGTGTCCAATCCCCTCACGTGTCAGGGGTGTATCCATAAGTAATGTCGCTTTTGATTTTACACAATTTGATTTTATTTAACACTTGGGTTCTTTTCAAATTTCACAATTCAATAAATTTAATTAGCATATAGGTTATGTAATAATAAATCACGTTCACGAACAAGGTGGCGATGTTTATTCAATTGGAAAAAAAAAAACGACATTACTCATGGGTATCCTCATATCACGCTTATAATGTATCTTTATAGCATACAAAAACTTCTTTTTATGTCATACATAGTGCTAATAGTTGAGAACGATACAACAACGATATTGACAGAATGTACATTATATACAGCGGACCGGTGATGCTTTAATTGCTCTTAGATTTTTAATCAAACATTATATTAATTAGTCCAAACAACAGAATAGAAATTGAAGAAACGATACGTATGAAACAATAATTTTCTTTTTCAATCAAGCAACGTAATTGAATTAATCGAAACACAATGTAAAATATAACAAGGTAAATATTATTTCATTGAAGGCCAAATTTGATTTCCTTTAAATAACAATGCCTTTTCCATCAAACGATACGGTTTAATCTAGCGAAACAATGATACACGGATTGTAAAATTATGTTGTTCGAGTCGAACAAATAAGATTACTCAGAGGAACCGTTCTCTCTCTCATTCACTCATTACACGAATCTCCACGCATCTTCGTTCAGGTATCCTGGAGGAGAACGACATCTTTCGTAACGCGCAAGCGGGTGTGCTCATTTCGACGCAATCTCATCCCGTGTTGAGGAGGAACCGGATTTTCGACGGGCTGGCAGCTGGAGTTGAGATCACCAATAACGCCACCGCTACGCTGGAAAGCAATCAAATATTCAATAATCGATTCGGCGGTTTGTGTTTGGCGAGCGGAGTGCAACCGACGACTAGAGGTAAATATTGCCGTCTCCCTTTCCAGCGACGCAGAAAGAGAGAGAGAGAGAGAGAGAGAGAGTTGCCTTAGTTCGCGATGTCGTCTTGGCGGTGTAGAGACTGAGAAAAGCTCATTTCACACGTTACTTTTATATATATCGTTCTTCTTTGTTTACAGACAATAAAATATACGACAACCAGGATGCGGTGGAGAAGGCGGTCGGGAACGGCCAATGTCTGTACAAAATCTCCTCGTACACATCGTTCCCTATGCACGACTTCTATCGTTGTCAAACGTGCAACACAACGGACCGCAATGCAATATGTGTTAATTGTATAAGAACTTGTCACGCTGGCCACGATGTAGAATTCATCAGACATGATCGGTGAGGAGAGGAACTACGCTGCTGCTTCTTTTTCTACTTCTTCTTCTTCTTCTTTTTTTCTTTCACGTATTATTATTTTATATTACTACATATTATTATTATTATTTATTATTCACTTATAAGAAAAGGGTCTCAGCGGTTTCATCATTTCCGATTTAGATTCACCTTATGTAGAAATGTTGCGGGTGAAGTCAATGGCATATTCTGCAAGTTACAGCCTGTATTTGCGTAAAAAAAAATTACGGTATAATAACACCCTGCCCACGCAGGGTGTCCCAAAAATCTGGAAACGGTCGAATATTTCATAAACAATGCATTTGAGAAAAAAGTGTTTGTGCTGAGGCCCTTCCCTTGTTAGGCGAACGCGCGCGCGCGTTCACCGCGCATGTTCACGCAAACCGTGTAATCGCGATCGCGTCGATGTTTTCCAGATTCTTTTGCGACTGTGGCGCCGGAACGTTGAGCAATCAGTGTCAGCTGCAGGGTGAGCCTACTCAAGACACGGATACATTATACGACAGCGCTGCGCCCATGGAATCGCACACACTTATGGTCAACTAGGAACTAACCTAATATAATTTAAACAATCAAACAACGTTAGAACAGTAAGTCCACTATATCGCGAGCACGCAGTAACCCATTGCCGAGTTCTTTATTGCGACAACCTACGATGATTTGCTTTATACACGCCCAATACGCGATTGTTACTCTTTGAAGGAAAATTTGTTGATATTGTTGATATTATTTAATGCCCCCATCTGTCGGGATCATCGTTTCTATTACCCCCCCCCCCCCCCNCAGCTTTGTCATTCTTTAGTGTTAAGCGAAAAGACATTCGCGAACGGCCGATTACGATTGAGATTGTGCATTTGTAGATGAATTTACACGGTGTAAAATAACGATGAAATGCAGAATGATGTAAGCTGAGAAGAGTCGAAGAATTTAGGAGGCGTGTGATATTGCAAATATTTAATCAACATGGGCGAGAGTCGGTGATGGATCGACACGGACGTGTTGAGCGATCTATTCCGCGAGTATATTTTCACATTTTCTATTATAATAATGTTGAGCTAACGTATCACTGAAAAATGAATACTTCGCGAGGTGTTTCGTTTTATTTTCTGACATTCTGGCATAATGCATTGCATTCTGGATACATGAAATATCTCGCGTTCATTTTTCAATGATCCCACCTCTATACTTTCATGTGCAAAATACTTAGACAAATTTGTTTTCGTTTTGTAGAATATATGAAATATCTAGAGAAGCAGTTTTCCAGGGAGGTCAGTCCTCTGATGCTCGTGTTGATTAGTAATTTATTATTTATTTTTGCGACTATTATATGTTTTTTTAAATTCCTCGACTTTGAAAAAGAGATGATCGTGTAGATACCGTTGTTTATCCTATGAAAGTATATATATATAAATATGTGTAATCCTTTGTTCATATAAGATATGCGCCAACGGCGTATATTTCCTTTCTCGTTTTACCAGTACAAAAAACAATGAGAGGAATCATACAAACTTGTTAATTATTCTAATATATTTACAAATGCATATTCGCAATCATATTCGTTATTTGCGAGTACAATCTGCAATATCGCCTTGTATTGGCGCTTCATTTGTATTCTGTTCCTCATTATTTTCAATTTCACGGAAGTGTAGTACAAAATTCTCTCTTTGCGAAAGATCCTTTCATCATGGTAAAAGATAATTTATTTCTACAAATAAATTATCGGAAGGAATTACATATTTATTTGCTTTTTCTTGCGTTATTTCTACGAACGGAAGTTTTTTTTTATGAATAAATTATTCGGATATATATCGGCTAATTTATATACAGCTTTATTTTGCGCATTGATAGATCGGATATATATATATACACACATATATATATTTTTTTCTATATTTCTATAATTTAAAATTAATATGAAACGATTGGCTTAATGCTTTTTGTGTGTTATAAATTTTATTGTAAATGTTATTAGCTCTACAATGTGTTTTCTTGTTAGAGATTATTAGAAGGAGAGGGAGATTGTTTCTTTGACTCGCGCCAAGACAAATAAAGAACTCAGCAATCAAAACGCCAAGAGAGAGAGAAAGAGAGAGAAAGAGAGAGAGAGAGAGAGAGAGAGAGAGAGAGAGAGGGAGAGAAACGGTAGTAATACAATAACGAAGAAGGCCCCCCATATAATTATATGACACGATATAATATTAGGTATATCAAATTAATTTAAATGTGTAAACGACGCAAACGCTAGACTAATCGTAAATCGAACTTTTCACGTCGGCTCTTTTTATCGAGGTTCTATCTCAAAATCGAAAAGAAAAAAAAAATCTGCGTATTACAAGAAGAGTGCAGTGCTGAATCGTGTAAAAACGAGAAGAACGGAGAAACATGTGTATACGCCATAATAAGGACACGACGTGTCTCGTAATCGAGGCGCGCTAACGGACTGCTTGAAACTCTAACGAAAGCGGCGGTATAAATCATAGTTAAAGCGAATATATAAGTTCAAGAATAAATAACACAGTGTGTGTCCGGAATGTAAATTATGTATATCGAACAAGGAGCGGTAAAGCATCGTTGACTGTATTACCTACTTATTCGAGCAGAAGCATCAACACCATAAAAACGTAAAGTATATAAATAAAGTTTGCACTCAGCAGTTAATAAGCGGAGACTAATAATTATGCCAGTGTATAAAGAGATAGATAGATAGAGAGAGAGAGAGAGAGAGAGAGAGAGAGAGAGGGGTACAAGCAGTGTGCGTGTTGAAAGTATCACGCTCGTCCGGGAATGTGAAACTGAAGATGTTATAAACCATTGCGAAAAGAAAGAAAAAGAACAAAAAATATAGGAAGGACCGTAAACCAAAACGCGTCACGGAACGTCACGATCGTTAACATACTAAAAAAAAAGAAAAACGAAAACTCAAGTGCAACTTGGACGACGATGAACTTGTCACAAATCTGTGCGGTACAAATCTCAAGGAGGTGAACGAGAGGGGGTTGAGAGGGGAGAGGAGAGGAGCTTAAGCAAAGCGGGGGAGAACTAAAACTCGAAGATCTGTTGTAAGACATAACCGAAACAAATGTCTAAAATGTGATAATATAAAACTCACAGGTGGTATAATCAAAATGAGAATAAACGTCTCTATAACGCTCTGCTAATTCTTTTTTTTTTTTTATGTAAATGTACCTCTCGTAGTTAACGCGTAACGGTTCCATTATTCACGCGGTAAATTGTGATGGTCCTAAGTTACGTCCCCACGGGCGAAGTGCATAATAAGAAATGGAAGAATAAATGTTTGAAGTGTTAATTAATTAAAACCACGAGAGATGGGACGAGAAAGACAGACAGAGAGAGAGAGAGAAGAGAAAAGAAAAGAAGGAGGAGGGAAAAAAGTGCGAACACATGCGATGTATGGCAGTGTATACCAGTGAAAAAGGAAGAAACAAACGACCGAGGAACAAAGTAAACAAGGAGATTAATAATCGTTTGGAAATAAAACAGGAGATGTACTGTCCGGAGGAACAGTTTAAAGGAGTAAGGAAAAAAAAGAAGTAATCTCGACTTTTTCAAGATAATCCGATTTTTTTTTAATTATTACGTTTAAATGTGGGTGAAGTCTCTTAGTCTAATCGCGTTAACGTAACTGTAATTTTTTCGGGAGCGGCGTGCGCGCCCGCCCCCCCC